ATATATATATATATATTCTCACGCTTGTCTAACATTCACAAAGCCCTGGTTCCATCCACAGCACTGTATACAGTGGCTCATGCTTCTAGCCCCAGCACTCAGAAGGCAGAAGTTGGGGGTCAGAACTTCTAGGTCTTCCTTGGTAATATAACTTAACACTGGCCCTAGGATACATAAGACCCTGTCTCAAAAATCTAAAGAAAAAAGAGTCCCTGTGGTCACCAGCTCCACCATCCAGTCTAATTTTACCAACAATACAGCTGCTATGTCTTATTCAGCTCAGGGGTCTGTTTTTCAATTGGTGCCTCACTTAAAGGGAGAAGAGAAGCATGGATAATTGTCACCACAGAACCCTGCGTCTAACACCTCTGTAAAGAACTTATTGGCAGCTGTCCTGTTGTAGCTCAGTGATTGAGGCTGATGAAGATGATGACAATGAAGATAGTGATGGTGGTGGTGGAGGGGGGTGTATGTGTCTGTGTGTCCCTGGCTCCCTCCCCACTCCTTCAAGGTGTTAACATTTCAACCCAACACATAAAGATTCTCCACACAATCCAGTAACAACCTAGCTCCCTCCCTGTGCTTTGTTGCCTAACCACCCACTCCTTTTTTGTTGTTTTTTTTTTGGGGGGGGGGGGGTTTTTTTTTTTTTTTTTGGTCTTTTTGAGACAGGGTCTCCCTGTAGCACCAGCTGTCCTGGAACTCACTATGTAGACCAGGCTGGCCTTGAACTCACAGAGATCCCACTGCCTCTGCCTCCCAAGTGCTGGGATAAAGACGTGCACCACCACGCCCGGTAGGCATACGTATTTTTACACTTCACCTGCCCATATGCTGTCCACTTAGTTTCACACATGCCTCTGTCCAAGCACACGTGAGCTCACTGACTTTCAAACTCAGCTCAAATGTTCTGTCTCCTGTGAGGTCCCACCCTTCCTTAGACACACTTCCGTGTACCTATAATCCCTACTCTCCTGAGCTCCTGAGTGGCAGAGACTACATCTTTAAGCTCTTTGTGCTTTTCTTTTACCCATGCTACACATTAAAGAATGTGCCAGAATATATACACAGATACATCAACAGTAAAGCCTGAGCTGAGGCCACAAAAACCCAACTTACAGCTCTGTCCCAGAGGCTGCAAACTTCTCTTAGGGAGGGATGATAAACATTTTTAGTTTTCTGGATCACATAGTATCTGTTGTGAACATTAGCATGAATGCAGCCACAGATGCCATGTAAATGAATGAATGTGGCTGAGTCCTAAAGGAACCTTCATTTACAAAATTAAGGCAGACACAGCAGCACATTTCTGTGGTCCCCGCTACTCAGGAGGCTGAGGCAGATGATTACACTGAGCCCATGAATTTGGGGCTAACATGGACAATATAGCAAGATCCTGTCTCTTAAAACAATTAGCCAGCTGAACTTAGCCAGCCACAATTAGTTTCAGACCCCGGATATATAGGACTGAACACAGCTAGGGAAATCTTTTGCTTTCTAATTGTTCATGGTGAAGTTGAAGCCTCTATCCAAACTGACTTAAATCAAGGTTCTTTATCTTGGAGGAACAGGATAAAGACATAAAGGCTCTTACAACTGAAAGCCCTGGTGAGCACAGGCCAATGTCTCTTGCTACTCTGTCTGCAGCTCATGAGTGCAACCAGTGTTAGTTACTCCTTACCCACACATGAGCATGCCAACTTAAAATTCCTCAGTGGGTCCCCAGTTCCCACAGTAGTGGCAGAGGTGGTTTTGGCGAAAAAGAAAAAACAGCAGGAACTCCAAATACGCTCACATTTATCTGTCAGATACTATTTTAGACACCTGGCACATAGGAATTCAATTCTATGATGTTGGCACTATTATCATTCCAAATGGAGGAACAGAGAGAGTAAACAGCTTTCTTAATCTAGTGATAGAGCTGCAGGATCCAAACTCAAAACTGTTCTTCCGAGGCCTAGTTGTTAAGGGTGACTAATTAAAAATACTTTCACAAGCCCTTTACTACTTTACCTCCCCTACCCAATCAGATACAGAACTTTCTACGCTTGTCCTTCCATTCATCTGCCTGACAAGCTTCAGTCATATATTCAAGGCCAGTCTACAGCAAATTCCAAGCCAACCCAAGTTATACAGTCTCCAAAAAGTCTTGAAAAAAAAATGATAATTTTAAAATCTGGAATTGAGGGGCTAGAGAGCGAGTTCAGTGGTTAAGAGCACTGACTACTCTTGCAGAAGACCAGGGTTCAATTCCCACCACCCACGTGGTGGCCAACGACCATGTGTACTCCAGTTCCAGGGGATCTGAAGCCTTCTTCTGACCTTGGGGCACTGCACATACATGGGTGCACCTACCTACATACAGGTTTTACGCTCATACACATAAAATAAAAATAAGTAAAATATGGGGCTGAAGAGATGGCTCAGTGGTTAAGAGCACTGACTGCTCTTGCAGAGGACCTGGGTTCGATTCCCAGCACCCACATGGCAGCTACGAACCATCCTTAACTCCAGTTCTGGGGAAATCTGAAGCCCTCTTCTGACCTCCGCAGCATTGCACAACACGGGTGCACTCACATACATGCAGGCAATACACCCATACACATGAAATAAAAATAATAAATAAAATATTTTAAAAAAATAAAAATAAGTAAAATATTAAAAATAAACATAAAATCTGGAATTGATGGTAGATTTTGTTTTTGTTTTCAGGAAGTTTTTTATACTACCTAAGCTGGTCACAAACTCATGGGTTAAGCAATTCTCCAACCTTAGTAGCTGGGAATTTAAGTGTGCACTACCATTCCTAGATGGGGATCTTATATCTAAATATATATATAGACGTGCATACATAGGCTTTTTCCTCAACTTACTAATTTAAAGAGACATTAGAAGTTCTAATGTTGAACCATCTTGCATTCCTAGACTACGTCTATCCATGCTGTTCAGACTGCAGATGCAAAAATCTTAGCCATTTTCTCTTTTTAAAATATTTTATTTATTTTTCTTTTATGTGTATAATTATATTGCCTATATGTATGTGAGTGCACCTGTGTCATGCAATGCCCTCAGAGATCAGAAGGGGGCCTTGGATGCCCTGGAACTGGATTTACAGATGGTTGTTCTAGGTGCCATGTTAAGTTCTGGGAACCCAGCCCTGGTCCTCTGCAAGAGCAGTCAGTGCTCTTAACTGCTGAGTATCTCTCCAGCCCCTCAACCATTTTCTTTACTTGCATAGTTTTTCAAGTTCAACACTTTAACCACTTAGCCACAATGATTTCTGGCACTGTGTTTTAGATTTTGATATGAAGATTATTCTAGCCTCACAAAATAAGCTCAAAGTATCTGGTTTTCTACACTTGGGGAGAATTTGAATGACACTGGAAAAAGCTGTACCCTGACAGTTTGTCAGAATAAACTTTAAACCACTGAGATTATTAGTTCTTGGTGGAATGAAGGGGTGTGTGAAACTTCAATGTATGCTTAAGGCTTTAGTCCAGTTTTTCTCTTCTTTTCAAGTTATTTTGCTGCTCTGTGTAGTTGCTTGCTTCCATGTCCCACACCCCTCCTCCAAACTTTGTTTCTTCTCTCACCTGGGCTGCAGTGGCTGCCGTCTGGAGGAGGCGGGACTCTTCCCACAGGCACCGGGCCACAATCCGGGCAATTTCCATTGGTTTCTCAAGATACCTGCTCTGTAAATGAGACAGAGAGATAATGGAAAGATGAAGCAGACTGTGGAGATGTGGACTGAACTTGGCTAATTAAAACTAACTTCTGCAGGACTTCATGAAACAACAGACCGAAGGCCCCAGAACCTGACTGAAATCAGCAGGGGAGGAAAGGAAAAAGGGAAGAATGCCGATTACAAAGAAGACAGAGAGCACACCAGTCTGAATCCTCTGTCATCTGACTTTCCAGGGTATCCAGGTGACTGACTTTACCTAGGAGTATCTAATTAACGGCCAAAACTTTTAACATTTAAACCAAGTCATATTCATGTATGGAGTAGGTGTTATGGGCATGCTAATATGTGGAGTAATATTACAGTCATTGCTTTATTGCTTCGACTGTAACATGAGAAGTGAATTTCCGGTAAATATGCTTATGGGCCAGTATATAGGGAATTGAGAAAGGGCTAGTTACTTCTCCTTTGATTAAGAGTACAAGAAAGCCTCGTATTATTTAGCCAAACAAGGTAAGAAGTACTTCCAGGAAAGAAAACTAAGACCCTACTCTGAGGGTCCAGTGCTTGCTACTCAGTTTCCCATCGCACCTGGAGGAACTGCTTGATTCTTCGCAGGTTGTGCTGATAGAGGACATTGGACTCTTGCAGGAAGCGGCTGTATTGCTGGTCAATCTCACCCAGGAGGTTATGAAATACCAGCGTGGCATGTGACTCTTTGCTGGCTGCATATGCCCTAGGAAAAGGAAGTGGGAAAAAGATCAATTCTAAGGCCAGAGAGTGATGGCACACGTCTGTAATCACTGCTCTTTGGAGGTAGAGGCAGGAGAATAGAGACTTTAAGGCCAGCTTCCAGCCTTCCAGACTGGCCTAGAACTCCTTGGTAACTGGAATTCCAGGCTAGTCTGGGTGATCTTGTCTCAACAACAGTAACAAGATTCTGAAATATATACACACAGAAACCGCCATCAAGGGGTGTATGGGGGGAACATGGTAAATTGGTGCTATAATCCATTCATTGTTTTTCATTCCTCTTGCTCAGCACAATAATACCATCAATGTGGTGATCAGCAGCAGAGCACTTGCCTAGCATGCTCAAGGCCCTGGATTTGATCCCTAGCACAGGGGAAAAAAGAGATTAACATAAGAATGATTCCAGATATTATTACTCATTCTTACAGACTACACAGTTAAAATATTTGAGCAAAATGGACAGATACAAGTTAGGTGTGCTGGCACATGTCTGTAATCGCAGAACTTGGGAGGCTGAGGCTGGAGAATTGCAAGTTGGAGATCAGCCTGTGCTTCATAGTGAGTTCCAGGCTAGCCAGAGCTATATAGCAAGACTTTGCCTCAAGTACAAACAAACAAAAACAAAAACAAGCGTGGTATGGTGGCACACATCTGTAATCCCACTACTGGGAAGTAGAAGCAGAAGAATCAGACATTCAAGGGTATTCTCCACTACAAAGCAAGTTCTAGGCCAGCCTAGACTACACAAGACCTTGTCACGCACGCACGCACGCACGCGCACACACACACACACACACACACACACACAAGATCCCTGGGGGGGGGGGGTCTCCCCTAATTGGTGAGCTCTAGGCCAATGAGAGACCCTGTTTCAAAGGAGGTAGATGTCATTTTTGAGGATGATATGAGGCTATCCTCTGGCCTACATGCACAGTCACATACACACACATGCATGTGCACCTAGATACAAACATATACATGAATTATTTTTTTTAAAAGAAAAAGAGGTAAGGCTATTTTGGCTTAAGTTCTCAATCAACCCTGTGGTCAGATTATTAATACATATATATTAGCGTAATAAGTAATGCCAGGCTGGGAGGGCCTATCTCTAGCATCTCTGAATCATCTCCTTGGCTTTTTGCCAAATCAGGGTATACCTTCTGGAAAAAGTAGGTCACATTAGTGTAGGCCTGAATTAAATTAAAATTAATAGATGGGCCTGAATATATTAAGTAAAGGAAATAGTTGCCATTGTTTCTTCTATGAGTGGAGTCCATTTCCCTTACTGTGTCTCTTTCCTTTAAAAGGGGAAGACACATGTGGTGGCACTCAACTTCTACTTGTGATGGAATTCAGATTAAAAAAATCTATACCTCGTTACTGGAGTATCAGAATACACAGAGGATCTCCCTGAGTAAATGAGACCCAAATCAAACTTCAAAACATCTACCGCCAAGCAGGCCAAAAGACAGCTACCCACATGCCCTCCAAATACAGAAAACCTCTGATCTCCTGATCTTTCTCCATCACCTGCACTTAGAAGCTTTTGATAAAAGGGTGAAGCTAGAACAAACTGTCTCTCAAATCAAACCGAAACTTAGTAAGTCAGGGAGTTTCCCAAGCAGGACTTACCAATCTTGACTCTCAATCCAAGGTGCCAGGAACTGCCGTAGCTCCATGGGGAAGCTGTCACTGTACAGCTGATGAAGTTGCTCCAGGTACCGTGTGTCGAGCTGCTGGAGCTGATTCCATTGGGCCATCCTGCTGGAATCAGGGGTCCCAACTGTAACCAAAGAGTTTGCATGGTCACTACAAGCCCCAATATGGGATGACTAACCTTGAAATATCCCAGTTGCTTTGGAAAGGATCTTGCATGATTTTTTCCTACTTTTTTTTTTTTTTTTTGTTTTTTTGAGACAGGGTCTCCCTGTAGCCCCTGCTGTCCTAGAACTCACTATGTAGACCAGGCTGACCCTGAACTCACAGAGATCCACCTGCCTCTGCCTCCTGAGTACTGGGATTAAAGGCATGTGCCACCACATCTGGCTCCTACTCTTTAAAAACAAAAGTTTTTATTACTTTTATTTTATGTGTATGAGTGTATTGCCTGCAGATATCTAAGTGCACCCGTGTCATGCAGTGCCCACAGAGGTCAGAAGAGGTACTGGATTCCCTTGGAACTGGAGTTATGAACGGTTTTAGTTGCCATGTGGGTGCTGGGAATCAAACTTGAGTCTTCTGCAAGAACAGCCAGTGCTCTTAACCGTTGAGCCACCTCTCCAGCCCCATTTTCCTGCTCTTTTGACCAATACTTACGCATTCACATTCCCTGCTCATGAACCACCACTAAACCCCTCCCTCTTGATGTTGGGATTGAACCCCAGGCCTTGCACATGCTAGGCAAGCTCTTTACCACTGAGCTAATCCCCAGTCCCTTGATATTTTTGAGACAGGGTCTCTTTCTGTAAGCCAGGCTGGCCTTGTTATCTCCTGCCTCTGCCTCCTGAATGCTTGGATTTCAGGCATGAGTTGCCACATACAGCTCCAGCAGAGTTTCTTTTAAATTAGGATAAGTAGACACAATGCCAAGTTCTAGAATCCATTACCAAGCCAGGCATGGTGGTTCAAATCTGCAATTTTGGCACTGCAAGGGCTGAAGTACTCTGATGGAGAGTTCAAAGCCAGCCTGAGCTGTGAACAGAGTAAGATCCTGCCTCAAATAATCAATCCATTACCTAACAGAGGTGTGTGAGGTTAGAAAAACAAAATCAGCATGTGAAGCTGAAAAATTCCTTAAGCTTCAGATTTCTATTTCCTCATCTATAAAAAAAGAGATCACTATTCTCTCCTTGGGGCCACTGAGATACTATTTCCAAAACCCTCAACTAAGGCTGAACAAACCCAGTTCCTCTAGACACATTCCTTTCAGATGATCTGCAAGACAATCAAAGCAAACCTGCACTGAAGTCCAGCACAGACGGGGTATTCAAGAAGGACGGAGGGCCACAAGTTTAGGGGGCATGTGGGCAGGGGCTTGGGATTCTTCCACTCAATCAAAAATAGTTTGGGTTTAAGATTCTCAATTTGAAATGAGAAAGAAGGGAAGCTAAATGCCAAGTATACGAGTTGTTCTCAAGTGCATGACTATTCACCGAAATGTCGGCTATGAAAAACCAACCCAGCTAGCTAATCACTTTCAATCCTCTTTCAGAATAGTTTGAGTCATAAAAATGTCAATACAGAACAAGTAGTCTTAAGATCTAAAAATAGCCATGAGCAAGAACCAAAGATTAAAGAGTGGCATGTGTACAGCAAACGCTGGCTGGAAGAAAGGAGGCAGTGCATGCCCCAGGCTGAAGCTCTGTAACTCTGGTGTGCAGCCCTCAGCAAGAAACCAACAGCCATTGGGTCCCTCTTACAGTGTTTACATAAAGGCCTAGTGAAAATCTGTAGATTAAAAGCATTACTAGGGCCTTCTGTATCTCAGGACCTAAATTGCATAGAGATCTCTTCCAGTTTGGGGCTGGGGAGATGGCTCAATTGGTAAAGAGCTTGTTTCTGAACCCAAGAACTCACATATTAACAAAAATCTGAGGGTGGTGCTGTAATCCTTCTGATAGCAAGAGATGGGAGGTGGAGACAGGGATCCTGGAAGTTCACTGGCCAGCTAGTCTAGCCTACTTAGCAAAGTTCCAGGCTAATGGGGGCTCCTCTCTCAAACAAAATATGGAAGGTATCTAAGGAGTGACATCTGAGGTTGTCCTCTGACCTCTACATACATGCACCTACACATACATATACACCCCATATGCACATGAACATGCATATACAAAGGAACACATGTATGCCAACTTATGTAAATGCTATTGTATGGAATGATACCAAACTGAAGACTCCATTGTTCAGCATGATAGACACCTACACGTGGCTGCTGAGCCATGGAAATGTGGTCACTTTACACAAATGTATGCTGGATCTGAAAACAGTGAACAAAAGAAGACCACAAAAATCTTGATGTTCAAATCATATTTTGGGTATGTTGGGCTAAATAAAACATATTATTAATAAGCATTCTGCCCATTTCTTTTTATTTCTTTTAATGTGGCTACTAGAAAAGTTAACATAACATTTGCCAATTATATTCTGTTTATTAAAAATAAGGACACTTGGGGCTGGAGAGATGGCTCAGTGGTTAAGAGCACTGAGCACAGGTTTGATTTCCAGCACTCATATAGCAGCTAATAACCATCCTAACTCCAGTTCCAGACAATCCAATGCCCTCTTCTGACCTCCATGGGTATTGCATGACATGGGTACACTTGCATACATGCAGACAAAACATACACATAAAAAAATAATAAATCAAATATTAAAAAATAACAAGGACACTTGTTTTAGAACAAAGATTTTAAAAGCTGTAGTTTTCCTATTTAAGAGTTGTCTGCTTGATACAGTAAATTCCAGTGCTATAAATTAACAAAAAATAGACTATTTCACTGTTTCTCTTGGACACAAATGAAGAACCAGTCTACTCTGAAGTTCCAAGATAAAATCATAAAACCACACCTACTCTACCTGCTCATAGATGAACATCCAAGTCAGATGCACAGTTCCATTTTCAATTACATAAAAAATTATCAGTTGTCAAGAACCGATTCATTTCTAGTCTATAACTCAGAGGGCCTTGTTTAGTTGTTGCTATTTGGGTGTTTTTAGCTAGGGAAAGGGCTCGTGAACAATGTAATAATTGGGCTTTTCCTTATACCAGACACCAGCTTGTAGCTTTTTCCATAAAATTAAAGCACCCAAAATGACTAATTTTATCTTTTAGTCTAATCAAGAAAGATAATATGCAAACTATCTTACATGAAGGAGAATTACTCTAAATTAAGACCGACAAGCAGGTGGCACTTTCAAGGAAAGCATGGGTGCTTTGGCTTCATACTTTAGCGCAGCAGCATCAGTCACGTCCTCACATGCCGCTTAGCTACAAACTATGTTTGCTTCACAGAAGCCACAGGGTAATTGGAAGTTGTTCACAAGAGCAGAGGACCCTTAAGAGATAACTAGCCAAATTGTCTAGGAAAACCATTGCCAACTGGCTTGCTATAATTGTTTTACTGGAAAACACTTAAAAGAACCACTTTATCATACAAAGTAATTTAGGAGCTGGGGATATTGTTCAGTGGTACAGTGCTTATCTAGCAAGCTCAATGCCCTGGGCTCTATTCTATCCTCAGCATCACAGAAACAAACAAAAACAAAACCCCCAAGTTAATCTGAACAAGTCCACTAAGGTTTTTTTTTTTTTTTAAACAGTGTCTGGCTATGTAGCCTAAGCTGGCCTTGAACGTTTGGTCTCCCTCCATCTCTGAGTATTAGGACTGCACATGTGCATCACATCATGCCAGGCTCCTACTACGTTCTAACCAAACCATTCTTATCTATAAAAGCATTCTAAGCCCATGTTTTAATAACCACTTCATTAAATTGTAGAACACACAAAGTGATCTGCCCAATGATTTGAATGCCAATCTACGTAAAAGGGAAAAGGATTCAGAGGCCTAAGTATAAATCCTGCCGGCCACTGAGGATCTGCTTAGGGAAACCTTGTTTGATTACTAAATAGATTCCTCCACAGCAAAACAAGGACTTACCCTGTCTGGGAAGGATGGTTCTAAACTAAGTGAAATCATGGATGAACAGTAGCCTTCCTCCCTGGAGCTACATTCAGGGAGCATGTAAACAGCTTCCTTCCTGTGCTGTTCCTCCCTTTAACAGCATTTCTTAATATGAAAACTCTTTCTCAGTATCCCGAGAGGCCCAGAAACCTACCTTAATTCATCTAAGTAGTTAGATGTTATATGTGATATCCACTGACTGTTCCAGCTATGTAAAACACATGCATTATAATGGACCTTTTTGTCATATCCTGAGGGAGGGAGCTAGTAATGTGATCTAGTGAATACATGTAAGGACAGAGGAAAGGACAGGCGGGGTTGTGTGGTGTCCTGATCAAATCTCTATACACATTTCACTTAGGGTAGGTAGCTCTAGGTTCAAAATAAGACCAAAGATGAAAATGATCCCAGCACTTGGAGGTAGATTCAGGAGGATTAGTTCAGGGTTATCCTTAGCTACTTGTAAGTTTGAGGCCAGCTTGGGCTACAGGAGGTCCTATCTAAAAAAAGAAAAACTGGGGCTGGGGATTTAGCTCAGTGGTAGAGCTCAAGCACAAGGCCCTGGGTTCAGTCCTCAGCTCCGGAAAAAAAAAAACAAGGCAATTAAAAAAAGAAAAACCATAACAACAAAAACCCACCAAGTGCTATTTAAAATGAAAAGATAAAAGTTAAGAACCTTGGTTAAAGAACAGTCCAGGGGGCTAGAGAGATGGTTCAGCCGTTAAGAGCACTGGCTGCTCTTGCAGAGGACCCAGGTTTGGTTCCCAGCACCCACATGGTGGCTAACACCCATCTGTGACTTCAGTTCCAGGGGAACCCAACACCTTCTTCTGACCTCCATGGGCACTGCACGATACAGGTGCACTTACATACATGCAGACAATACACTCATACATAAAATAAAATAAATAAATAAAATTTTTAAAAAAGCTCCTTCAGTACAGGAGCTGGGGCTGAAGCCAAGCTGGTAAACTGCTTGCCTAGCATGCATGAAGGAGGCCCTGGGTTCCATCCCCATACTGAATGAAACAGCACAGGAGCACACCCCAGCACTCAGGAGGTAGAGGCAGAAGGATCATAAGTTCAAGGTCATTCTTTCTAC